AGAGAGAGAGAGAGAGAGAGAGAGAGAGAGAGAGAGAGAGAGAGAGAAAGAGAAAGAATGCACTCTACTGTTCAAAGACAAAATATATATCCCAAAGGCACACACCTACAATGGCCCACCTCCTCCAGCCACACCCTACCTGCTTACAGTTACTCCCGAGTTAATTCCTATCAGGGAATCAATGCACTGATTACAAGGCTCTCATAATCAATCATCTTGCCTCTAAACTTTCTTTCACACTTGAGTTTTTGGTAGATACCTCATATCTAAACCATTATACATGATGTTCTCCAGTTCCATCCATTTACTGGCAAATGCCATAATTTTGAAACAACAAACTTTTTTAGTGTTCTTTGTAATACAGGGATTTTTAAAACTTTTATCATAAGGTGCAGTTATTTCCCTTCCAGCTTTCTGTTTGTCTTTCAGTATGTTAATGGTATATTTGTGTCACACTGCCTTAAATTTTTGTGTTGTCACATCTGTCAGTCTTTTCTTTAGGATTTCTGGAATTTGTGTCATTCAGAAAGGCTTCTCACACCAAAATTTATGAAAACACATATTTAAAAATATATTTTACATATATATTTTAAGTATTTAATTAATCTGGAATTAAGCTTCAGTAAAGGATATAAGGAAGGATTGCAAGTCTTCAAATGATCTATTGCTTGCTCAAGATTAATATTGAAACTTTTGTAGGCACACAAATTTAGATTAAAAACAAAAAGGATTCATCCACAAAACTGCAAACACACTTTCATCAACATAAGCTAATTCCTGATGAGGAGCATAGATGATCCATGACCAGTCATTACACTGAGAAGATGGGGTCTAGACTGATTTGTCTCCATCTTGGCAATCTAGTTTAAGTCTTTGGGCCTCAGTCTTGGTAGAGCTCCAAAAACATTTGCAAGTTTGTTCCAATTATCAGGTGGGAATATTTTAGAACATTCTAAGATGGGGCTTAAATTGCTCAAGACTATCATCCTTGCCATTATGGGATTGTTGGACACCCTCATCCCTTCCTGACTTAATCATGACTATAATTCCCACAGGAAAGATGAGTTCCCTGGGGGAAGGGCAGTCGAGCTGCCTGCAGTGGAGCTTGGCCTGTCAGGTTCTCACCCCTGTCTCCTTTTGCAGGCATATCCTCATCTGCCTTGCTGCCTATCTGGGTTGTGTGTGCTTCGCCTACTTCGATGCCGCCTCAGAGATCCCTGAGCAAGGGCCGGTCATCAAGTTCTGGCCCAGTGAGAAATGGGCCTTCATCGGCGTCCCCTATGTGTCCCTCCTGTGTGCCAGCAAGAAGTCACCAGTCAAGATCACATGATGTCAAGGCAGTGGCTGGCTTCTCTGCTTGTTTTCCTTCACACACTGGGCTTCGTTTGCTAGCAAGGGCAGCCAAGAGGGTTCTAAGAATTGGTGTAGGGTGTATCTTTTAAAAATTATGTTCCCTTGGGCTCTAACTAGTGTGTGTCTGGACTGCTAGGGTCCCACTGTGCCCCGGGAGAAGACGGGAAGCAGAGGGCATAGGGACACTAGGTGAACTTTCTCAGCGTCACTTCCAGATGCACTGGTGTGTTGGGCTTCATTCTTCATGGTGGTGGCAGAGCAGTCCCTTGGGGGATCCAGGGCTACCCAGTGCTTCTTTCTGGAGAAAGCTGGCCTGCTCCAGACGCCACCCTCCCAGGCACTCTTGGAGTGGACTCTTGACAGACCGACTCTCCGACTCTCTAATGGAAGGTGCCAGAGATGTTCATTTGGGGAAACTGTCTTTCAACCAAACCAAACAAAACACACACAGGGCTGTGGCTCCAAAGGCTAGTTTTTCACTTACACCTCTCAACTAACCCTGGTTGCACATGTACTGTGAGTCCTTTTACTACTACCTCTGCTGAGAGATGGAGACTTCACTTCAGAGAGGGTGAAGCTAATGACTAACTCTCTATGCCAAAAACTGCACTCCACTTTAAGCTGTTCTTGAAGATGAGCACAACTTATAAATGTTGACATCGTTTCTGCCCGCCTCCTCCAGCCCAGTGGCTTCAAATACACAGAGAAGAATAGCTATGGTGTTAAGATTCCATACACAGCCCACCCTCCCTACCGTTTGATTACCAAAAGGGCTCCATGAAGTTTTTTCAAACTTTCTCATTTAAAGTCTCCAGTATACTATACTGTTTTGGAAATTACCTTTAAAGGTCTCACCTCTGACTTTCTCGGATAAATCCTGTGGGAATTATGCTCCACACTCTCACAGTACATGGTGCTTCCTGTGGTTTTATCAGAGCATTGGCTCACTTTTCTCAGATATTGGCAATAATCACACACTGATTGGCTGGTGCAGGGGGGCAAATCTTGCCTTCTGGGTTTTTCTCACCTGGCTGCAATGAGTCACTGTGCTCCAATGACACCAGGACTGTCTTCAGGGCAGCAGATGGGCATTACCAACCTCAGGGACTCTCATTTTAACTCAGGCATCCTCTGCTTTGTAACATTCCTGGTTGGGAGAAGGCAGGACAGATAGGCCATTCTGTCCTTTTCCTATGGGTAGGAGTCATGTCACTGTGTTGAAGGTCTAAGTTTTGGGAGCAGCAGTGTTTGGCATGTCTAGGAACTCTTCCTCTAGTTAAGAGTTTGCATAGGATTCGAAGTGAAAGGCCAATATGTAACTGAGTTCAGAGTTTAAAAAGAATAATTGTATTCCACTTGGGTGGTTTTCAAATTTTACATGTAACTCACTGGATTATTTCCTGTTTCTTCCTGTAATAAGAAATATTTATGAAACGCAATGCATGAAATAAATTCTATTTTATGAACTTAAATATTAAGTTTAAATTGATAGCATTTACTTAATAACATATCCAGGCAGTGAAAATACAAATTAACAAATGGGTGCTTTCCAAGGCAGAAAAATTTTGTATTGAATGCATGTACATTTTACTTTATTATAATTTTAAAATATATTTTAAATCATTTTAAATTGAATATCTGCAGAACCCCTAATGTGATTCTCTAAATCCTGCTGATTGGTAGACTAGAACTGCTGTGAAGTCCTTTGGGTTTCAAGTCTAGAATTTTAAAAAGAGAAATATCAGACCATTCTCATTTCAGGTTGACCTTACCAGGCATGAATTATTGTCTCATCTATTTTACAGGATAAAAATTCTGTTAACTAGAGGGTTTGGCATATTTAAAGCCCAGGTGTCTTAGTATGGAATCCGGGAGCAGGAGAGGCAGATTGTAAGAAATGGTTCTTTTAGTATAAGTTTAATTTGTCCTGAAGGTTCCCTAGTAACAGGAGGATTATCCTAACATTCAAGGAGAGACTATTTATCTTTACCAAGGAAAGGACATATTCCCTAGGGGCTCTGCCTACACTCCCACCTCCAGACCCTGGAAATAGGGATAACATATTACATGGATGGGTATATTTGAATGGGCCTGTGAAAAAGAAAATACATACCCTGACTCACTGAGCTATTTCTATCCCTCTTCTACAAGAAAAATGACTAAGTGAAGATGTCAGGAGTGGTTTTGTTATGAAAAGCAGTATGCCCATCTAGAGATTGGTTCCAAAGAGATGAGAACTAAGGGCGGGGTGGAGGGGAGTAGAATGGAGTATATTTGAGAGGACAGAACATAACTCTACTTTTGAACAGAAATCACTACAGCTTGCCAGCATGGGATGATAAAGCAAGAGAGTAGAAATATCCTCATTTATATTTCAGTTGAGTTTAGGACATCATTTGTATTTATAACAAAGCACTACATACTTTTTAAGGAAAATTGGGCAACTACAGAAAAATTGTAGAAGAAGAAAATAACCCATATCTTTATTGCCCAACCAAAACCATTGTTAATATTTTGATATTTGAATAGATTTCCTTATTTTCTTTCTGTCTGCTTTTCCCTGGTGTAGTTGTAAATAGATATCGTTTAGCATTGACGGTTTATCCTGTAGCTTGAATGGAACGTGAGTGCCCATCGTGTATTTTTCATGAAGAGCAGGTGTGGAATACACCAGTTAGCTAAGCACTGGAACGCCTGTCACTGGGTTCTAAGACTTTCCACTGGATCTTCTGTTTTAATCAAACCTGACATGAATGGGCCTAAGAGATGATGAACTGAATTATGTTTTTTGATGTACTTCCCCCACCTGAATCCATCGATGTGTCATAGAAAACAGCTGTTAACTATGGAACTTCATAGATTTTGATGTGTTCAGATTTTTTAAAAAATGAATAGCTTATTTCATTAATTGTTGTACAATCAAGAGTCTCCATCCCTCCCTCAGTCCAATAGACCTCACAGTTAGGAGTTAGGTCATGGTGATAGTTACTCAGAATGGCGATCAGGTTTTGTTCTGGTTAGAATTTATCCTAGATCTATATCCGGGAACTGGATTTAGGATAGAAAAACCCATTAATGTTATCAATTGATCATTTTGCCCTGTGATTCTTATTTTATAGTTGTTTGATTGGTCATTGATTATTAGAAAAAGAAATCTTTGCACCCCTCTATGGTTATGTTGTAAAGCAAGCACTTGAATGAACCTATTGAAGTTATGTGGGGATGAGATGTCAGCATGGGCTACATTTTGGGGGAACTCTGTGCCTGTCCAGTGAAGAGTGCCTGAAACATTAATTATGGATCAGAGATTCTCTTTGGCAACAAAGATTCATGGTCATCCCAGCCAGGTTTTGTAGAAATACTGCCACCTCTTCCGTTGATTGGATTTCTCAGGTGTGTGAAAACCTCTCTCTCCAGTTCCTCAGGCTTCCGTGAGCCAGGACCATGTTGGGGGCTCTGGGACTGGGATTTGGAACTTCCTTGGTTCTCTGTCTTTTGGGGCCATGGAACCATCTCTGGGGGACAGGTGAGGGCGAAACTTGTCCGGCCAGGGCCCCTTCCTCAGCTTCTTCTCCTCAGTTGAACTTGAGACCTTTGCTATCCAGGCTAATCCTGGTGCTGTAGTTTCAGCTGGTCAAAGAATCTTCCTGGGCCAGGTTGGAATTCTTAGTGGATTTTATAGACATTATTCTCCTATAGACTTAAAAATACGGTCCCCCCTTGAAAGGCTTCAGTGTTGTATCTTTTCCTACATGTTAAACCAGATTTAGAGACTATTTTATAACTGCAATATGTAATCAGAGAAAATACAGTATTTTCAGATACATCCCTTGTTTTCTACTTCATAGAGGGTGTGCTGGGAGCGTGGCTTGCCTCCTGGTGGGGGAGCGTTTAATCTCCATTGCTTTGGGAGCGATTTAAGGCTTTTTGAAATGGAGCTTTTGCACTTTAGGCTCTTTTTGTGAACTGTCTCTGATAATGATGTTTAATATTAAAGCTATAAATGGCATTTTCTGTGAATAAATATGTATATGTTTTTATCTATTTCTAGAGTGGTTTCTGAAGTATCTGAGGTGAAAAGGCATTTCATGGATTATAGAGCAAAGCCCATTTGCCCAAGTTCATTTGTTAATGGATTTGGGTATTCTTGTTACTAAACATACTTAAAATACATGTAGTTCATTGTTGGTATCTTCTCAGTGCTGTGAAATCAATACATCTAAATAACCCTAGCATAAAGTACCTATACCTTACATTTATTGGAAGTTCTATAATTATGTCATATGAATATAAAATCTCAAGCATAGGTAATAATTCATTTGTGATTTTTTTTTGACATTTCAAAACCAACCATTAATGATTTCAGCAGGAGAATCTGAATCCACCTATATATTTTGCTTAATTTCTTGTGACAGTTCTATTTTTTTTAACTAAATGATTCATTGATCATCAGATTTAAAACAATAATGTGACCATCAAAGAAGAATGGGACAAGCATTACCTGTCATTACAGTGGTGTGCTTTAGACTTTTTTCTGGCTAGGGTGAAAGGACATAAGAGTGGCCCGGGAGCCCTATGACATCTGATGAAATCGGGGTCTTCTCTCTAGGACAACACTCATGGATGATTCCTGGGGGTTCAGATGTATCCTAGCAGCCCACCCAGCTGAAATCTCCCCATGACAGGATTAAGAAAGGAATCAAATCCTTACTGGTGCTGAAATTGGTTTCTCAGTCTTGAGGATTGACTCTCTTTTTGGGGCTGTGGTCAGGGACAGGGGCTGAGGAACCTGAGGGCTCTGTTTGCAGGAACAGTGGGAAAGATCACTCCAGGACACACCTACTCCCTTCCCCTACAGTCTGATCCTGTCTTCTCCTTCCTGTGGGTGTCATCTTGTCCTGGGTCTGGTCGAAGGGAATACATTTTATTCAGCTCCCCTTTCCCAAATTCCCTGAAAGACCAGAGCTGGGACCCTAGTCTCCCTGACTCTTCTCTTTTGAGGATTTTACATTAAAAGACTCTACATGGTTATATACCCAAAGGAAATGGAATCAGTATATCAAAGAAATACCTGCTGCTGTCATATATAACAAATTAGAATTTAAAAAATAAAAAAGAGATACCTGTACTCCGTATCTCCATATTTCTTACAGAACATTCACAATAGCCCAGATATGGAATCAACCAGGGTGTCTGTTGACAGATGAATGGATAAAGAAAACATGGTACATATATACCACGAAATATTATTCAGCCATAAAAGGATCCAAATCCTGTCATTTGATGGAACTAGAGGACATTATGTCAAGTGGAATAGGCCAGGCATAGAAAGACAAACATTGTGTGTTTTCAAATATGAAAGTTAAAAAAGCTGATCTTGTGGAAATAGAGTGGAACAGGGGTTACTAGAGACTTAGAAGTATGGGGAGGGAGGAAGCTGGATAATGGGTACCAAAATACAGTTGTATAAGAGAAATAAATTCTAGTGTCCCATGGCACAGTAGGGTGACCACAGTTTTCAACAATGTATTATATATTTTATAAGGAAATAGAAGAGAGGAGTTCTCAGGCCCCCAACACAAAGAATTATTAAGTGTTTAAGGAATGGAAATGCTGGCTATCCTGATTTTTATCATTACATGGCATATATATTTATTGAATTATTACATTGTACCCCCAAAATATGTGCAATTATTATGTGACAATTTTTAAAAAGGCTATACATAACAGTCAAAGACTTTACATTAAAGGACTGTTCTTTAAAGGACCGGAGAGAGGCAGGCCCATGGTGCTGGTAACTTACATCTTAGGAGGCCTCAACAAATCTTCCTCCAAGCCTCTTTGCAGTTTATAGTCACAGAAAATCCTTCAAATGCTATCTTAAGGATTTTGGTTTCTCCTACTATTCTATCTACTTCTGTATTATTGCATTTTTTTTCCCAAAATAAAAAGTTCAAAAACACAGTTTGGGTTTTTATTCTCTACAATCTTTGGGCAGGGCTCTGACTCCAGGCCTGTCTTATTTTTATTTATTTATTTTTTTGAAGAGGCTGGGTCTGCCATGTTGCCTCAAATTCAGGCTCAAGTGATGCTCCTGCCTCAGCCTTGGGAATAGGAGAGGCAACAGGCACCTGTGACTGCACCTAGCCTGTGCCTCACTCATGCAGGCCAGCAGCCCTTCTCCCTAGATATTTGTCTTAAGTGGCACTTCTGTCTCTGACAGTTTCCAGGCTGATGACACCCGGTTTACCTAGGAAGTCTTCTCTCTGGTATCAACTCACAAAAAAGGAAAAAAATTAGCCTCACATGGGTTTTTGTTTTTACAACTGATCAACTGAGAGCAGAGACAACAACACTATTTTAAAATACAACAAGTAGCAGTAGAGTCAGTAGAATTTATTTTTA